CTGCTGAAGCAGCAGCATTAAAAATTATGATTCATCCTAATTTATTGCACTGGTGCCCAGGGTCTAACCCAGATCAGTTTCCCTCTGTGCTAGGCATTGTATCAAGCATGGCGTGACACTCCCAAACAAAAGGGGAAAGTTAGAAAGGGAAAAGAGAAAAAGGGAGAGGGAGAGCAAATACAGAAGATATTTTTGGTGGATCATTTTCCTCTCCTTTCTCCCCTGCTGACTGCCAGCTTTATCCCACCCACAAACTCCTTCCAGCTCTGGCTAGGCTTGTTCATCCAATTTTTGGCAAATGATTTCTTTAGCAAAGAAATGCAATTTAAAGGGAACTGCAGCTATCCACACAGACTTTGCTCTGTTTCTGCAAAGTGCTTAAGAGAGAAAGAAAGAAAACAGGAACTCAAAGGGTAGAAACAAATAAATGTTTCATTTTGTCTTCTGTTTTGGAAACTTTGGTTTCGTTCCTATCAAGATTCCATTTCTAATTTTTTTTGAATTGTCAGCTATTGATTTTGCAGTGGTGGTCCACTGTTGAGGGCCATATATCTCCTTTCCCCTGCAGGGTCCAAGCTTAGCTCCCAGCTTCAATGTTGCCCTGATTCACAGGAATCAAAGGGGCATCTCTATGCAGTCTCTTACTTCCCCTTGTCCTCCATGGACATCTCCATCCCCACTACCCCAGGCCATTCACAGTGGCCACCCCAGGCCATTCTCAGTGGGAGGACACACTTCGTGCTTGGTCCGGCTTTAGGCTACCTGTACTGGTTTACCCCTTGAGTTTTGAGGGGCAAGCGATCACACTGTCCTTCCAACCCTCATCGCTTCATAATCAGTAGTCTGGATCTCCACAGTAGAGCACCCAAGGCATTAAAGGAAGAGGGGAGCATATGCTACATCCCTCAACACAGAGCAAAACATCCCACCTACCATGAAATCAGGCAGTGTCCATTCGTTCAACTAAAAATACAGAGACACCTTGTAGCCACTCCCTGTGGTGCTAATCTTCCCTGTAGGTGCAGCAATCTAACAGTGCTTCAGAGGATTATCCTGAAGAAGGTCAAAGTCATCTTTGGGGTGTGGGGAGCAGATATAAGACAGACCCTTAGGATTCAACTTCCCTGGAACAAGCCAGAAAAGCGACCTCCTCATGGGATGAAGGACATTCTCCAGCCTTGGTAAACAGACTGGGAATGTCCTCAGTCCTGTGGGGCTCTCTCCTCTGAGACCTTAGACAACAAACAAGAAGCAACAGGGCATTTTGTGCTTGATGTGTACAGGCTACTTTTAGATACTCCCATTTCTTGTTCCACCACTGCCTACAGACAATCTCTGTTCCTTCATCAAACGCAGTTTGCACCAGTCCTCAGGCATATTGTTCACTACTTGGCACCTAGCAAGAAGAGAAACCTCCCTCTTGTCCCACCCTCAGAAGGCAAAAAGTGCTACAGTGGCCTTGCTTACCTCTGGGGACGGGAACTGGGATTTGTTTCCATCGACTGGAGCAACCAAGAGCATGTCCTGCAGGATTGTTGTCATGTGCTGAGCCATGACCTTCTGCTGGTCAACGCTGCAGTGGTTCTCCAGGGAGATGATGACAGGGTATGGTGAGGTCTAGAACAAGACAGCAACGTACACCATCAGTGAACTCTGCAATTTCACCAGTCTATAGCAACTGATAGAAAGCCCAGTTCTGTTTTCTTTGGAAATGAGTGTGTCAACAATAGGGTCTAGTATTCTGCTATAATGAGCATTTGTTAAAAATGGAGTAGCAGTAGCTACTCACATCTCTGCTGCTGCCTTCCAGAGAGGATGATCCAATGGACAGGGCACCAGGCTAGGTCAGGATGCCTCCCACAGACTTGCTGGGACACTATGATGAGGTTTCCTGTGTCTCCATTCTCCACTTACATTGTGGGTCAGAGCACCTTCCTACCTCAGAGGAAGGACCGGGAAGGGAGGCTTTGAAATCACTTGGTGTTCTCAAATCCTTAGGTGACACGAATCCTTCCTCCACTCATGCATAGGCCTGATCTGGTTCCCTGTGGCCCTTCCTAGTCATTTTGTGTGCTGAAGGCATTGTCACTGTCACTGTTTTATAGCTCCAAAGCAAACTTGATACTAGTTCTCAAGCGGACCAAAGGAAAATAGAAGAAAGCACAGTGAGTCTGGACAGACCCAAGGTTTTTTAAAGCCTGCTGGCCCAGCACTGCCATACAAGACTCCAGACCTGCTTATTCCTATTAAAGCAGAACAGCAGCAGCCCTTCACATCAGTGCCTCCAAAACACATGCATATGGGTTCCTCTAAACTAGGAACAGACCCCTAGACATCAAAGTCACAGAAATCATGGGCTTTGTATTTCCCACCAGGTACACTCAAGATATTGGGCAATGCAGTGGGGTCCAGGATGCAGCTCTGCTGGTATAGGTTCAAACTCAGATACTGCTCTCCTGTCCAGCAACTCCCAGGAATGGATCTTTGCAGAAAGCAGAACACGGATGCCCAGACAGGTCACATCCTGTACCCATGAGAAATGCTAAAGTGACGTTTTCGTTGTTTATGCTGTCTGCTGGGAGGGCAGAGACCTACTATCCATCTTGGGTTGTGCAACATGAGAAATCTTAGAGGGTCCCTTATCCTTACTTTGAAAGCATAGTTCTTGATGGCCTTAATGACATCGCTGAAGAGGATCTTGGAGGTGAGAGTGTAGCCATGATAAATGACGGGCTCTGAGTTAGGGCCATCCCAGCAATCCAGTTCCACACAGCGGCAGCCTTTGGTGAGGGCTCTAGAAATAAAGAAGGGACCTGGTTGGGTTCTAAACCTTCTGCTCCATCTTAAAATGAGGGTGCATCAGGCACAGGTATTGCCTGGGAAGGCTGACAGGAAGTTTAGGGAGCAAGGGACAAAAAAGGAGCTTGGAAGAAAAAGGAAAGCAGATGGAGAAAGGATGGGATGAGGAGAGCTCAGAGTCATCAGAGAGCTCAAGGCTGAGCAAGGAAAGCACAGTGGGATCTGAGAAAGGAGGTAATGAAAGTTCAAGGTACAAATTATCGAAAGAAGACATAGTGAGTGCCAAATGAGAAAGGACACTCATGACTGTGCCAAAAGTCTTTTCTAAGAGAAGAAGAGAAGAGAGAAGAGAGAAGAAGAGAGAAGAGAGAAGAAGAGAGAAGAAGAGAGAAGAAGAGAGAAGGAGAGAGAAGGAGAGAGAAGGAGAGAGAAGGAGAGAGAAGGAGAGAGAAGGAGAGAGAAGGAGAGAGAAGGAGAGAGAAGGAGAGAGAAGGAGAGAGAAGGAGAGAGAAGGAGAGAGAAGGAGAGAGAAGGAGAGAGAAGGAGAGAGAAGGAGAGAGAAGGAGAGAGAAGGAGAGAGAAGGAGAGAGAAGGAGAGAGAAGGAGAGAGAAGGAGAGAGAAGGAGAGAGAAGGAGAGAGAAGGAGAGAGAAGGAGAGAGAAGGAGAGAGAAGGAGAGAGAAGGAGAGAGAAGGAGAGAGAAGGAGAGAGAAGGAGAGAGAAGGAGAGAGAAGGAGAGAGAAGGAGAGAGAAGGAGAGAGAAGGAGAGAGAAGGAGAGAGAAGGAGAGAGAAGGAGAGAGAAGGAGAGAGAAGGAGAGAGAAGGAGAGAGAAGGAGAGAGAAGGAGAGAGAAGGAGAGAGAAGGAGAGAGAAGGAGAGAGAAGGAGAGAGAAGGAGAGAGAAGGAGAGAGAAGGAGAGAGAAGGAGAGAGAAGCAAGAGGGGCTGCATTGGAAGAAAGACAGTAAGGCAGCCTTAGAAGCCAGGTCATGAAGTCTGGATGATGTGACTTCTTCATCGAGATCTGATAAGATATGACAGATGAATCCTCAGAGCTGTCAGAGAGGGAGCTGTGGGAACTCCATCATAGCTGCGGAGACTGCTGAGGGCCAGTTTCCCAAACTGAGTCTACAGGCTGAATTTCCACTTGAAACTCCCGCCTCTACATGTCCATACCTTAATTTTAATTTATTTTCAAATGGAGGTTCCCCCTGTACAGACCTCTCTGTCTACAAAGTGATCTTGTCTCTTTTGCAGTAACTCCCTGTACATTTCAGATAACACAACTCCTTTAACTCATTGCAATAAATATCATAGAATCACAGAATGGTTTGGGTTGGAAGAGACCTTAAAGATCATCTAGTTCCAACCCCCCTGCCATGGGCAGGGACACCTCCCACTACACTCCAAGCCCCATCCAGCCTGGCCTTGAACAATTCCAGGGAGGGGGCGTCAGCTTCTCTGGGCAACCTGTTCCAGAATCATGGATTTTTAATTTTTTTTTTTCCCAATGAAAACATAATTCTGTAATTTTAAGATACTGTAAGAGGAATTCAGCTACTGAAAAGCAGCTTATGCCAGATCTCACTCTTTACTCTTCTGAGCTTGTGACTCTAGACAGCCATTGTTCCTTGAGAATCAGACAAGTAATAAACACAGAATTGCAGTCATTGGCTTGCTTCTAAGGAAACGCTGTCTCACTCGGTAAAAGTTTAGGTCAGAGTAGAAGAAATGTAGGGTGTGGAAGTTAGTGAAGGCTACTGCAAATATCTGGCCATGAGACATCAGACAGCAGTTGTTAAAGGCAGAAGCAGGCAACATCTAATGTTCTGTCCAGGGACACTGTGGGAGTATCTGAGTTGCTAAAGAGGGACCAGGCGTAATTTTCCTGATTACCCATGGTGTTTCGTTAGCTCACATCTCACCTCTTTTTTTTTGGACTACTCCAACCAGATCTCTCCAAAATAAACACCAGCATGATTCTAGGAATAATTCATGCCAGGGGCTACTCCCAAAAGGCAGTACAGATTGTAGACATCATGACAGTATGCATATCATTTTGGCCTCTTCCTGTCTCTACACAGGTCTATCCCAGAAATCTTTGCGTCTTGTAGGCTCCTTGAACTCTCTTACGTCATATCCTGGGGAATGCAACTTATGCCCTCAGGATCATGCTTTGAAAACACCATGATAGAGGGCTGGCATCCAGCCTCCACATAATTGCAGATATTTTAAAATACTCCCAAATATCATAATTATACATCTTACAGTCAGGTGGACACCACATGGGGCTCAGCAGAGGTCCCAGGTCCAAGTGTTATAAAAAGCAGGGCATGGTGCATGCCCAAACTGGTTTAGAAACAGCTCACCCTGATGTGAACATGGGCCAGTCCACATTACCCGATCTTGGGGTGGGGGATTTCTTCTTGGTCCTCTTGCATCTAGCAGTATAGATGCACCCTATGCCTTCTATAAGAGAGGCCAACCTCTCACACACACATAAATGCACGCACATACATTACCTGATATAGGCTTCCGTGCTGCTTGGACCTGTGAGCTGGTCTTCCATAAGATAGGTATTGTGTGATGATGACACCAAGTAGTGACTGAGAGGTTGAGTCATGTCCTGGTAAACTTTACGGTGGGAGGAGTTGAATATATTCCCATCATCAGACAGAAGGTACATCAGGAAACCATCTTTGGTCATGGCGTTACCCCTCTTGGCTGCCAGATAAATAGACAGAAACCCCATACTGAAAATCTGGGACCAGCAGGTTGTGCCATCGTCTTCACTATGATGCCTGCTGCCCTCCAGAGAATCTCAAAGGCAAATCATGCTCCCTAGGCAGTCAGCTAATAATAAAGAAATTGATCCTGTTCAGACGATGATGACAGCTTCATCTGCCTGAAAATGCTTTTAAAATCCCTTCACAAGCATGGATTTTTACGACAATTACTGTCCTTGATAAAGCTTTTAAAGTGTCAAAGGCAGCACTTACGTCAGCTGTCTCTAGAGAGCTACAGTATAAAAATCTCCATTTGAGCACTTCAAGCTTCCTTCATACCAACACAGAGAAATTGTCAAAGTCTAAAGATAGCCAGATAAATCCTGTCTAGATTATCCAATGAATACATGATTTGCAAAGAGTACCTGCAAAATAATGCAACTTCAGGGAGAAATCGGGGTCTCCCCATCTTGAGGGAATGAGCTAGATCTCAGTCTAATCCCCAAGTCTGACATCTGCAAAGCATTGTCCCTCTCCTGAAGGTATACCAGGATAGTGCAAAAACAGCCTATGATCCTGTGTTTATATCTTGAATGTGTCCTTCAAGGTGTTCCAGACTGGTATTTCACTGAATTTCTAGCAGAAAGACAGTTTTGTTACTGCTCTTCTAAACTGTTCTCATTTTCTTGGTTCTCTACTCAGAGATCTCATCACCTCATGGCTTTTCAGGTGCCCACATTCAAAAGCTTTTGCCTCC